TCTCATGCTTCAGGGTGTAAGTTAATCACCACAAGGACCAGAAAGAATTTTCCTTTCAGAAGTAGCAAGGCACAATTGAGTGGGTGCATAAATCTTGTTTAATTTCCAGCGCATCAAGTATTGGTCAGTGTTGAAAACAAGAATCCAATTAGATGGACTATTAATCTGATTTGGCTCAGCAACTCCTATATTGTTGCTTCCACTGAGTTTAATGTCTTGTGTTTATACTTTGCTCTCTTAAGTAACAACTGCTTTAACAATCTTTTATTTTTATAGTACCTATCATCCCAGAATGTGGGTATTTATACACTATGCAGTATTATCTTCATTAAACAAAGTAAATGGGATTGAAACCATCTCAGATAATCAATAACTTGGTTAATAGGAAACATCTTAAGGGTTTAATTGTATCCCTGTGGAAGATTCTACTGAAAGACCCAAAAGGTCCCTATTGCCACATACATACCCCCCAGTTTGCTTATAGAAAACATCTTTGAGAATCGGTGGTCCAAAAGCAAATAGGAAATAGGACTCACTCACAAATAGCAAGAACACAGTCCTCCCACAAAAATGACAGATTCAGTTGTATATACAGTGGTAAAATCACATTTGTCAGGTGGCCTACACAAAGTACACACCACTAAATAAAAGTGGTTAATGTATTTGAAAATAGGAGCAATTCCAAATTATTTCATCTGTGTGAGAAAATAGTTCCAATTTAGGAAGGGTAGGTATAGAGATCTTCTTATACAATATAATTGATTTGCAAAATTGTAGTCTTGCTTTAACTGTAGCCAATAGTTTAATTGGAAGAAAATGACAATGAGAGTAGATTAAATTTATGATTTTTTCATTTTCCTGTTTAATCATATTATGAATTCATGGCATTTTACTATAGAAAATGAACTTATTCTACCTATCTTCTGAAACAATATAATAGCTCTGTAACTAATAGATGGTCTGTCCTATTAGTGTGCTTAAGAATTAATGAGCAGTGAAGCTGGAAGCAGGTATTTTTTTTTTCCTATCTATCTAAAAAAGTGGACCTTTACATAAAATTACAAATTCCCAAAATGTAGGTGGAATACAGTAAGCTTCTCTGCTGCCAGCCATCCACTCAAGATCCAGTAAGAAATAAAGGGTAGGGCACCTAGCCAGAGGACAGAGTTAGGGGTTATTAAGTGCTTATCACTCCTGGAAGGGTGTGGTTCATGCTGTGAGCAGAGAAGAGAGTGGAGAAGATCAATCTGACATTCTGTGGGCTTTCAAAGGTTTCAGATCTTTCCTCACCCTTAGGGAAGAAGAATAGCGTATCTTGTCAGGAATCTCAGAAAGAACAACAGTGACTCCATGAAGTATGGTTCAAGAAAAGTCATTCAGTCACTCAACAAACATGTTTGTTTGCTCTCTGTACTTGGCACTGTGCCAGATACATGTGACACACAGATTCAAGTCCCAACCATAAAAAAGATCATTTCCTTGATAATGCAAGATATGTCATAAAGACAGAATAAAGGGAGAGCCACTACTGGAGTGCTCGCCAGGTGTAGGCATATGACTAGACTATCTTATCACATTTGACAATTTAAAAAGTAAAGGGAAAACATGCAACTTCCCAGTTTTTTTCTCCCTCTAAGTCATCAATTATCTTTCAAGTGCTGCCTAAATCATTATTTTTGGAAATCTATTTATTTGCCTATTGTTCTACTAGTGATTAAAAGTTACTACTCTTTCAAAATAGGCTTAGCATTACTGAGCATTACATGCTTTAGAATGGAGAAGATAAACGACACGTAATGGCTAGATAGAAAATGTTTTGCGTTTAATTACCATGAATGAGAAAAGGGAGACTTCACACAGTTGGCAATGGAGTATCTCAAATTAGGTAGCAATCTGTTTTCACTATCTGTATGTCTGTATCAGTATCTCTACATCTTTCTATCATCTACTATATAGTGGACCACATGGTATTATTCAAAAAGTAGAATTCAGGAGAATTTAGTTCATAATTTATTTTAAATACAGCATTGAGGAAACCATTAATACATCCTCACCTTAGTTCTTCTAGGCTATAATTGGGAAGCTACCAACTTTCTAATTCCTTCAGGAAATGTGTTACTATCCTTAGCCTAGAATAGGCAATTCACTATGTAGATGGTATTCCAGGAAACATGATACAATGAAATTATTTTAACATGACACCTGGATTATATAATTTAAGTATGCATTTTGAGGCAATAAAAATTAGTTTATTTGATGCAAGAAATAGGACTATTTAAACTGAAATGTCTATTTGCAATTTTAAATATGTATGTATAATTTATTAATTCTTCTGAACCAGTGTTTTCCATTGAAGACTATTCCCATGAAATGATCCACCGAGAAAAAGATTTCTGTGGTTCTCACTTGGAGATTCACAACATGCTGAAGGCTCTGAAAAGTCCTGCAGTAAAAGCACCCATTTCACCAGGCCAATGCTGTTCCCACCCATATTTTATCATCAGACTTTTTTTTTTAAAGACATTTATTTTTCCACAAAGCACTACCCCCCCCCCCGCCCAGTGCTATTTAGAATCTGTGTGTGTCAAGAAGAGAAGAGGGTGCTGTAGCAAGAACTGCTTGGACTGGCTACCCACCATGAAGCCAGCTCTGCTGCTTGTTAAGCATCTGTACGCACCAGGAATTGTCATTTATATTTCAAGTGTAGCATTAAGTGTATTTTTTTAAGTTTGTTTAAACAAATGTGTTTGCTTAATTGTGTTGCTGTAATTCCTGGGATGATTGAATGATTATGTCTGAACAACATGTCTTATGCATCTATGTGCATGTTGTTCACATACACATACATGAACCTCCAAGTTCAGGCCACATACCTGTTACTCTCTATGTACCATATCAGTAGATAATGAGGTGATCATTGGCTACAGGAATTAAAAAATGAGAACATTTTACAATTACATGTATTTCATAGTTTTGGTAGTTGAGATATGTGAGTGACTTTTCTTCTATTTACATTGAAAACATCTACAAAGCAAAAATAAAGCTGCATAACATGTATTAATTTTTATAGCTCTCTGGTCATTGTGTAGTCATTTCTTTCCTATATGAAGTTGATGCAGTATGTGACTAAGTATGAAATAAACATGAAATTAGCCCTTCCCCAATAGGCTAAAGAAAGGGAATGCAAACACAATGAAACCTCTTTTCCAGATGACTTGAACACCCAGACACACAATGAGCACATAATCTCATTGGCATATATGCAATGGCTTTTGAGGCATATTGCTGTAGTACATGCTATTTTGAGGTAGAACTAGACAATGTTTACACAGCCTGAATTAACCTATTTGACCTTTTCCTTGAATTGTTCATACTCTGCACATCAACAATAAGAGTTTTTAAATGGAAGCCCCCAAAAAAATCTACTCCTTTTTTTAAAATTGAAAACCAACCTCTTAGTTACTACATCTAGCAAAGCTTCTTTGGCTAAAACCTCTGCTTAAAATTTTCAGTGGATCATTTTTTGACATTTTTAATCTTAATACCAAAGACAGAGGGTCTGAATGTTTATTCCTGTTTCAGAAGGCTGCATCCACATTGACACAGAGAAGAACATTATAATGAGAGGGTTCTTTGGAGGGGCTTGAATACCTTGGGTACACCTGGCTAGATGCTCTGCATTGAGGATCCAGGGGTTCACAAGGTCCCAGGTTTCCGTGGTTTAGCATTATTTTTACAGAAGTCAGTTGTGTCCTTTCTATTGAGGGAGTCTGTGGGGCTCGCGGTCCATTTTCCAGCCTGACCTCCTCGAGGCAGCACCCCCATGTAGCATCTCTGTTAGTGTGGTTTTCATTTAATTTTCCTACATGATGGGAAACAGCGAGCTGCCTTGCTAGCACTGTTGTAGGCTGCCTTGTGAGAGGTCCCATGTTGAGTCACATCATCGTGCATGAAGAACCAGTTTCCACAGCATGCCTGGCAGGTGATGGCACTGCACAGAGCAGGAGGAACTCAGAGAGACCCTGCAGTACCAAGAGCCCCAAATAGACTTACAACCTGAATAAGCATGGCATCGAGGTGGCAGAATAAGGGCATATGTGCATCCTCAGGACCTTGTTCTGACAAAGTGCCTTTTCCTCTAAAAGGCCATTTTAGCCTTTCCTTCCTCCAGCTGGTTTCACCTTTCCCCATTTGCTGTATCAGTCTCTTCCTCTCAGCCAAAGTAGGAGGTAGGTGCATGCCCAGGAAGAAATATCTCAGGGTTACTTCTTTATTCTTTTGAGCTTCGAACTGATAATGTCTAGTTTTTAAGCCAATTAAAAGAATATTAAGAAATAGCCATATGAAAGTATGAAAAAAATTAGGGCAAAATTATATTAATTTATGATTGAGTCTAAAACTTCTATGAGAGATTATTTTTATCTTGTTCATTATAAGAAAGAATTCATCACCAACTTCTTTAAAAAAAATCAAGATGAGCTCTACAATTACTTTGAAGGTATATTAATATGGTTTTATATGACTTGAAAAAGGCATTTTAGAACTCTTCTCTTCCATACCCATTGCCATCAACTAGCTTTGTTTTCTTTGTGCGAAAATGTAGACCAAGACTCTTTGATAATATAAAAAGGAAAAATACAAGAACAAGCATTTAAGCAACAGGAGATCCCTGTTTGTGCAGTGATGACATCCATCCCATGGCTCATCTTTGTATCTTTGTTTGGATGATGAGGAAAGTAACCAAGTAAGGGAGCATGTGGGCAAAGAAAAAAGTTTATTGTTTCATAGATTATTTTAGATTTCATAAAAGACATAGAAGAAGCTCTGCCATGAGTAAGTCATGGTACAAATAATGGAATTCTTAGATAAGAGAGTCAAGAGTAGTACTGGGTATTGATTTATGTGAACATTCATGAATTAAGTCCAGAACGTGTTGCTAACAGAAATCAACACCCCATGTGTCAGTCTCTTAACCCAGCTCTTGTCTGTTTCCCCAACAGAGCTACAGTGAACCTGTTGATGTTAAGACATCTCAAGCTCCTCAGCTGATTAATTCAAAGCCGACAGTGTTCCATGGGCCCAGCCAGGCCCACTCCGCTCTGTACCTAAGTTCCCACTACCACCAACAACCAGGAATGAATCCTCACATAACTGCCATGCACTCCAGTCTCCCCAGGAGCATAGCCCCCAAGCCGAATAACCAAATGCCAGTGACTGTCTCTATAGCAAACATGGCTGTGTCCCCCCCGCCCCCACTCCAGATCAGCCCACCTCTTCACCAGCACCTCAGCATGCAGCAGCACCAGCCGCTCGCCATGCAGCAGCCCCTTGGGAGCCAGCTCCCCATGCAGGTCCAGTCCGCCTTACATTCCCCTGCTATGCCGCAGGTAAGCCCTCCTGCACCGGTTCTTCCGGGGATGTGTGCCGGCAGGGAGTGGGGGTGGGGGGGTGTTTTCTATTCTCTTTCAGTGGAGAGGGAACTAAAGATATTCAACAAACATCTGCCTCTGAAAAAGTATCAATTATAGGGGTTGGGACTGGGCAGCATTATATGACCACAATGTTGATAGTTGCTTCTTTCCTAATCTCTAGTTTCTCTCCATTTTGCTTCCCCTTGCTTTCTAATCATCCTTCTTATTTTCTTCCTTTTGAGTAAAGTGCATTTGCTATTTTGAGATGAATTGGTTCTAAGATCTCTTTGGGCTTGAGTATCCTACATTTAAAAATAAATATGTTGTTGGAAATGGAGAAGGTCCTGATTAATATGCCTGTTGAGTCCAGTAAATGCTGCAAAATGAAATCAGACCCACTGTTTCTGGTCAGAAATATCAAATTGGTACAACCTTAAAAGGCCTAAGAAGTGAACATTTTAACCAGAGATTTATTTAAAAAATGGATATCTGGCTTCTGCATAGATTGGAAAGGAGGAGGTTTGGGAGCCTCCCTGCCCACTTCCCAATTATTGAAACCATTTGTGTGCAATCTTAGCTAAACTTTTCTTTGAAATCAAGTTTTCTCTAGGGTTTTGTTGTTATTTTAAAATTGGAAAATTAGGAGCAAATGCTATAAACTAAACTGAGCATAAAGCACTCAAAAGTCTTAAAATCCTGTCTTTAAAAATAGATCAAGGTAAAACATACAAATCATACCAAATTCATCTATCACTTTTATAATCCAATTACACTCTTGTTCCCAGAGCTGTAATTTAATATGCAAACACAGGTTTCCTATAGAATTGATATCTGGCCTTCTGTGGAATTTAAGTCTCTATTTGGAATAGGGTGGGATGGAGGGAAGCCAAAAGAGGGGTCAAATAGACATAGTCCCAAATTCATCTTTATTGCTATAATTACGGACAGGATTTCTGAGAGCTGACAGTAGCAAACTTTGATATATTACCTTACCTCATCTTTAATTTCAGAAAATTTATAGCATGAGTTGTAGCATTATCTTTATTTTATAGCTGAGGGAACTCAGGCTTGGCAGAGTTGAGTAATGTGTCCATAGGTTGCAGCTGGAATTCAAATCCAGGTCTGGTTAGAAATAGAGGCCTGGATTCTTAAATGGTAGGCCTGATGCCTGTCACTCGTAAACATTCTTACAGATTATTACCCATTTCATATTAGAAAACCAGTGTCTCCTAAGCATTCAGAGGGCTTACATCCTAACTAGTTCTCAGATTAAAATGAATATGGAGAGTAAAGGTGTTCATCTCTACTGAAATTTTCCTTGGTCCTAGGCCAAGACTATTGATAAAGCTCTGGCAGCTTACTTACCTATGTTCAACAAACCAGCTGTTAACAAGGGAAGAAGACAGGGGGAAAGCCAACTTCCGCCATCTTGCTTTGTCTGCAGCACTGTTTGTGACCAGCAAGTGATATTCATAGGGTCAAATTTATTCTCTTTCTATCAGACATCACTCACCATGAAAGGGGCCCTTTTGGGTGTCCACATTTTAAAGAACCAATCAATAGTGTTGCATAAAGAATTTATCATTTGAAGGACACAGCCTTCAGTTGTGTGGGTTGACTCCTGCCTAAGGGTGCTGGCCAACTGAGGGCCCATGTTTTGCTCGAGGTGCTGTAATGTGGGGTTTCTTCCCAGCAGAAAGACAACGGAAGGCACAGTCCCCTCACCAAGTTGAGGGCTAGAGCTCTGTCCAGAGAGGACAGCTTTTTTCTAATTTATCCATTCAGAAATGGTCCTTTTTTCTCTTTATACAAACACCTTGATGATGGCTGTTACCCTGAATAGTTTTCAAACATTTCAGAATTACATGCGGCCACATGTGAAATCTCAAGAGATTTGTCTTTCCATATAAAATCTGAACAGAATAGGAAAAAATAGAGAAGGTTGCAATGGACAAGTTATTCATCAATCTTTAAGTCAGTTCTATTAGTGTATCTCAAGAAGTGTTCTTACCGAGATGGTAGGGTTGATTTCAATTTACATTAATAATAGAAGACAAAAATGGCATGAA